GATGATATTTTTAACGATATAAGCTCATCCTGGAGTTACACTCATCGAGACCTTTCATTTGAGTACCCACATCAATTTTTCATATAATATATTTTATATTTTATATATATATTTATATATAAAAAATATATGAAAATGCATGTGGGTACTCAAATGAAAGCTCTTGATGAGTGTAAGATCAGGATGAGCTTACATCTTTAAAATTCTCAATAATTAGGAAATGACCTTGTATCTTGTGAACTATTGACATTTTCAAAGATAGAAGCCTATTCCGATATTACACTCATCGAGACCTTTCATTTGAGTACCCACATCAATTTTTCATATAATATATTTTATATTTTATATATATATTTATATATAAAAAATATATGAAAATGCATGTGGGTACTCAAATGAAAGCTCTTGATGAGTGTAACATCAGAATGAACTTATATCTTTAAAATTGTCAATAATTAAGAAATTACAGTTCAATTTAACAATAGTTATTACTTGGTGAAGAAAAATTTTATTTATTTATAGGTCACACAAGTCACGGAAGTCACATAGTGACTGAAAGGTTGCTATTTTTAATAATTTTATATTTTAGATAAAAATACTATAAATATACTAAATGTCAAGTTTTTTATTTTGGATTTTCGATTTTTTACTTCGAACTTTAATTTTTATGTATAAAAAAAATTTTATTGATTATTTTTTACTTTTGCATAAATGAAGGTATTTTTTCAATTAATTTAGAAAATTTGCTAATAAAAATGTCGTTATATTCTTCCCGAATCAATTAATTCTCAATTTTTTTTTTAAATTAACCGCAGTAGTTTTCTTGCTAAGATCTAGAAAATTTTTTTTATGATACCGCTAACTTTTATTAACTTTACTTATAACTTAATTTAGAAATAAAAATAAAATTTCTAACTATACTTTATCTTCTGTACGTTCTGAGGACAAATTTAATTTAAAAAAATAAATTTTTAACGGCTATCTAAGCTCCGATACAAGATTAAATAAAAATTTTATCGATAGAAAATAGACTATAAAATACATGTGCAGCACTAAAACCTTTCCCGGAAAAGCTTCTATTAAACTTTAAATTGAATATAACGGCGAAGAAAAGTATCTTCTTTAATTTACTCCAATCTTCAGAAATGAACAGTAGAGGTAAATAAATTTTACGTATTTTTTTTACTTCAAATGTTGACGCTGAAAAATCTTTTTTTCTCGCGTTTAACTTTAATATAAATTATATTTTTTTATTGAAAAAATGTCTGTATTTTATTTAATGAAATTTAAAAAATTCTTTTTTTTTTTTTAAACTATTTTTTTTCACTTTTTCAAAAAAAATTGAATATTTTCACCAATAAATAACTTTTGTAGCTATTAATAGAATTTAAAAATTTTTATGTACCAGAATTAAGACTAAAAATTCGTGAGTCAAATTAAATTTATTTACACCAAAAAAAAACTTCTCATTTCGAGATTTTTTCTATTCAAATTTAAATGAAGCTCTTGTCATCTAGTTACTTTATTTTACAACAACAACGAAAAAAAAATAAAAAAATACCTAAGAAAGAAAGAAGAAAACTTTAATACTCTTAAGCTTTTCATTACTTATTTGTTTCATTAAAAACTCTCAAGTACTTTAAAACTAACAACTACTATCAAGTATTCCTTAAGAAGAAGCTAAAAAAGTTATTCGATTAAGTTAACAATTGTTAGAGGAAAAAATTTTCTTGTCCTGGAGTAAATTCATTAGAACATAAGTGAACAAAATTAATTACTCAACTCGATTGAATCAATCCCGCGAAAAATTGATCAATTTTGTTGTAATTTATTTAAAAAAATTTTATGCAGGTTGTTAGTAGTAATAATAATAATAATTGTAACTTACGAGTTTCTTTGGCGCATTCGCGGTTCCGATGTAAAGCCAATAGTATAAGAGTAAACAAACTAGTGACTAAGAGAGTAACAGTGAGAACGCCGATTAATTGTTGACGATTGGTAGGTCCTCCACGCCGGCGGGTAATTGAAGTGGCTCTTGTAATCCCAGGCATCCTTGAGGAATTCCCCGGCCTGTGAATAGCTGTCGTTGTTGTTCCTGAATTGCCTCTTGTGCTGCAAGTCACCTGATTGAATCCAATACACAAATTCGAGAATAGAGAAATTGATCGAGCATGAGTGCAATGCACACGGGAATTAATTATCATCAGTCAACCAATCAACCACTTTGCTTAATCAGCCATACATATTATTATTATTATTATTATTATTAATGTATACATATCTTAATGCACCGACTTTGAAGTTTACCTGAAGTGGCATTCCGGTATGTTGAATCTCGCGAGCTGCTGCGGGCAAGAATTCGCTTTCTTCGGTAATTACCCCAGATCGTAAGTACCCGTTATTGCTTTCTGACTTCATCGCTTTAATTCGTGTCTTACGTCTTTGGTAACCTAATTAGGTGCTTTTTAAGTAATTGCTTACTCTTACGGTCACCTATTTTTTTGGCATAAAAAATCAAAGAATATAGAAGTTACAGTTGTAATTATGAAAGTTTTTTATTAATTAATTTGGGTTGGTCGATCTCGATATTTTTTAATAGCATATTTATATGACTAGTGCAGTAAAGTGAAATGTCTCAATGTTAAAAATATTTGTAAAATTACAACACGGAAAAAAGTAAACTGTAATAAATAACAGTTGAATTTAAATTATGTAATCAAACAAAATAATGATTTTGAAAAAGAACGTACGGCTATACGGAAAAAAGTAAACTGTAAAATTCACTTGGATTCTGGTTAATTTTTATGGTTTCAAACAGTAAAGCGGACATCGGGGTGTCAAAAATATAAATATTACAGAACTTGATGTAGAAAGTATAAAAGCCACAATTTGTAATTTAATATCCAAAATAAGTGATTAGTAGTTGTCACTATAGTAAATAACGACTCTTTTATCTTAAAAAATTACAGTTTCAAACAGTGAAAATTGCCATTTCAATATATAGTCTATATTATGAGGAGAAGGGGAACTCAGATGAAAGAGAAAGGGGTCTTTTACTCTGGGAGATTTTAACATTTGAAATAGTAAAAATTATTATACTTTTAAAATATACATTTTACCAGTCCAAGCAAGTCGATAATTACAGTTTGATTTTTAGCGTTGTGTTTAAAATTTACCATTTTACTTTGTAAATATTGATGTTGCTTGTATTAGAAATTTACTAACTTTATTTTATACTTTTTACATATCATAAGATCATTTTTATTTTTTAGGTACCAAATGATAAATATCAAAGTCTGAATTCTTAATTATTATACTTAAACATTTTAGACATTTACATAGCGAATATTACTGTTTGAAATAGTATTTTCTTCCATGTAAAGGGTAAATTGTAACGTTTAAATGGTAAATATTATAAAGTGAACAGTAAAATCATGATTTTACTGTTTGAAATGATAATTTTTAGCAGTTGATCATTACTTATTATAAATCGGATGTTATTTATTACAGTTTACTTTTTTCCGTGCATAAAATTTTTCAACAAAATTTTACTACAATTGGTAATTCACGAAACAAGTTTCACCAAAACTTTATGTATACCGTTTCCGGGTATGCGACTACAATTCTAACACATTACTTTTCAATGTAACGAACAATTGCGTCAAGCACTTTATTATTTATAATAATAAAAATAATAATTATTATTATTCATAATTCCTCCGTTTTTTTTATGAAATTCATTTTTCACTAACTTTTACAAATTGTGTTTAAAAAAAGAACATAATTATTTTACAGGCGCGTGCTTTAATTTAATAATCATTAAAAATTTTTATTTATTATTTTTTAATATTAATTAATTTCTAAAAAAAAAACTTTATTTTTAAAACTAAATTTTTTTCAATACAATAAATAATAAATATTATTATTAAATATAAAAAAAAAATTTTTTTTATTTAACAATTAATTTTTTTTGACTCAAAAATTTAATATATTAATTTATCGATTAAATAATATCAATTAATTTTTTTAATTGAATTTAATAAAAATTATTTTAATAAATTCTATTAATTATTAAACAAAAAATAAATTGTATTAAAAAAATAAATTCTTTAAAGAAATATTCATATTTTTTTAGTGAACAATATTAATATTTTACATATTAAAGTCTCAAAAAAAAAAAATTTTTTTAAATTAAATAAATTACCTTTTATTAAATCTTCAGTTTGTAAAATAAAATTTCATAAAATTAATCACATTTTATAAAAAGTCTATATATTTAAAAAACTCATTAAACTTGCAACCAAGAAAAAAACAAAATAATAATTAAAACTCTTAACTAACACCTCAAATAATTATTTACTTAAAAAAAATAATTTTAACTGTTGATTGTACCACGCGGCAAAATCTTTACGCGGCAAAATTTTCGATGCAAAAATTTACACTAAAAAAAGATTAAAAATTTATAATTTAATTTAAATTGATACTGTCAATTTTTTCCCAATGAAATTTTACGAATTCAAAATTACCACAAAATTTTACCGTATGCATCCTATTGACCTTATCGATGAAATTCACCGAATTTAATATTTAGCGAGAAAAAAATAAAAAATAATTCTAATAAAAATTTTTTAGTGTTAATTGAAAATTATTTATTATTTATAATAATAATGATGATAAAATATTAATAATAAACCGATGTGAGATCGAATGAAATAACGATAGCGGCGGTCGGTGCCAGACTAAAGGGAGAGAAATGGCAAAGTGGTCACAGAGCGCTTGGGCAGATATAATACAACACAAAAGGTGGTGGAGGCGGGAAATAGCAATAGCTTTACTTTGATACGCGCGCAACTTTCTTCTATTTACATTTATTTAGTACCGTAAACAAACCTCCCCGTGTAATGATATTTTTATTTTTTTTTATTAATTATTATTGATTTCAAAAATTTTTTTATCTTAATACAAACTTAATTGCCATTTTTCAAAAATAAAACATTAATTGAATTTTTGAGAAAAATTTTAGAACCAAGAAAATTAAAAAAAATTTTTTATTGTAATTAAAAAATTCAAATTTTTTAGAATAATTTTTGTCTTGGCTTAAAAAAAATTTTTTTTTTTAATAATCTATATTATTAAGAGAATAAAAAAAATTTTGTGTCCAGGATATTCATATGATAAAATAGGTTTTTTTTAGTGAAATTCAGGATCATTGCAAAGGTCTTGATTTTAATTTGTGTCTTTTGAAGGTTTCATATTATTCTTATCGATAGTCAATTTATTATGATGTATTTAGGATGCATTCGAAAATATTCTCTAGATACATAATTAAGAAATGACCCTGTATCTTGTGAACTATTGACATTTTTAAAGATATAAGCTCATTTTGATGTTACACTCATCGAGACCTTTCATTTGAGTACCTACATCAATTTTTCATATATTTATATATATGAATATATCAAAAATATGTAAAAATGCATGTGGGTACACAAATGAAAGGTCTCGATGAATGTAACATCGAAATGAGTTCATATAAGCTCGTCCTGATGTTATTCTTATCAAGACCTTTCATTTAAATACCCACATCAATTTTTCATATATTTTATATATTTATATATATTATATATATGTATATATGAAAAATATATCAAAAATGCAAGTGGGTACTCAAATGAAAGCTCTTAAAGAGTGTAACACCGAGATGAGCTTATATCTTTAAAAATGCCAATATTTAAAAAATGACCTTGTATTTTGTCAACTACTGACATTTTTAAGGATATAAGCTCTCTCCGACATTACACTAATCGAGACCTTTTATTTAAGTACCCACATGAATTTTTCATTTATTTTATATATTTATATATAATATATATATATATATGTATATATGAAAAATATATAAAAAAGCATGTGGGTACTCAAATGAAAGCTCTCGATGAGCCTAACATCAGGATGAGCTTATATCTTTAAAAACGTCAATATTTACGAAAGTACAGTGCAATTTAACAAAAGTCATTATTTAAAAAGCAAAATTTTATTTATTTATAGTTCACAAGTAACAGCAGTCACGTAGTGACTGCAAGGTTGCGAGTATAAATTACTAAAAAACATTTCTTAGCCCCAGAATTTTTTAAAATTTTTTTCCTTTAGTACGCTTCAATTTTATTCTTTTTTAATAACAAAAATTAATACAATACTTTACCGTAAAAACAAAATAAAAAAATGTATATACTTAAATAAGTAAAAGTAAAAAAATAATAAATGCGTACTAGACAATTCGACGACCTACAATCACTATTATTACTTGTCCTCCAGCAGCTCAGTACACGGAAAAATCTAGCTAGATAGCTCTATCTTTGATGTATAAGTACACAACAAGGCTGAGTGGTGTACGTGGGGGAAAACAACCCCCGGTATCTGCTCCTTCAGGTCGATATCACGCCTGCGCTTTTGATAAATCAAGGTGGATCTACTACACGTTTCCCTAGAAAAATATATACCCACTATTTTTATTTTTCTGCTTCACGACTCGCCGATTCCCGCTGATTTATTTTATTCCATTTTATTTACTTTTTTTGTTTTTTTTTTTATTTATGATTTTGGTGTTGCCGGTAATAGCTTGCGTGTTAGAATTTTCTTCCGAGAAATAAACAAAAATAAACATGTCAAGGATTCTATCGCTTATGTTACAGTTGATCCGTTTATTTTTGTCTTATATGATGATTATATTTATATATAATAATAAATATTATTTTTATAAAATTATTATTGATAGTTGGAATTATTTTTGTCGGCATTATGTGTCACTATTGACAAAGTTATTTACGATTTGAATTATAAGAGGATAATTTTTATAGATATCGATCGTATAAATTAGATTACAGGAGCCGAAATTTTCCCCTATTTGTGACCAAGACGATCCACACTGAGTGCTGACAAGTTTAATTATTTTTTTAGGTGAAAAATTGATAAGGGAAGAAGATGATATTATTTTTAAGAGTCATTTTTTTCTAGGGTAAAATTAATATTGTGAGCTTGAAAATTAGTCGGGTTTTATTTTCGGAAGAATAAATATTTATTTTGTTACTAAAAAAAAATTTATTGCAAAAGTAAAAAAACATTTCTATTTGGAGCATTGAAAACTAAAATGAAATAAATTTTGGTTTTTTTGGTATAAATTGGTAAACCACCGAAATAACAGTCCCTTGGGCTGTCTCATTCCCAAAATTAAAACTTTAAGATTAAATTTTAAGTTATTCGTCCATAATATATAATTTGGTCGATAATGTTTATAAACTTAATTAGTTAACTAACAATCTTCTTCAATAAAAAGTACCGAAAATTAATTTGTTTGATTAAATTCATTAAACCAAAGTATGTCCCAGGCATTTGAGATCAGTCCCCTGCCAGAAGTTCAAAGCCAAAAAAAAAAATCCAGCGT